CTCAATACCTGGAATCCAATAACAGTAAGAGGCAGGCAAGGAGAGAGCAGAAATCTGGGGATCTGGATAGCCCAACCTAGACCACCTTGGGACTCAAGGGCGTGGCAGAGAACAGCACTAGTAGGTTCAAAGCCAGGCTTGAGTGAGGATGTGGGCTGTGAGTTGGGGGAGTCACAGTGACTGATGCAGAGGAAGCATGGCACTGGGACCCCAGTGGACCCCAGGGAGGTTCTTCTGGGAGAGAACATGTTCGCTGAGAGGACAAAGTTTTCACACATCACAGCCCTGTGGCTGGAATAGTGACATGACAGGCTCCTGGAATCTGCATCCCCTCCCCAGGGGCAGCAGACGAGAACCAGGGACTAGAGGGTGACCCCTTGCTCCACCCCACAAAACTGCACACTGGGCAGGGCCTGCTCTTCCCAAGGGAGGTGGTCAGTCCCTACCAGCCTTGGAACCAGAAGCCAGGCCCTTCCTGCTCTCCCCCCACAACCACAGAAACTCACGGGCAAGTCAGGCAAGAAGAACAAACTGTTTATTTACACCATAGTCTGTATAGTACAGTTCCCTGGAAGGAACCTGCCACCAAGAGCCTGTTCCTTTCTGGGTAGCGGCAGGCTGGAGGCCTGGGACCTGGGCTGCAGCCCCAGGGTCTCACCCTACTCTCTCCTTTCCTGGGGCCCACCAGGGCAGGACCCACCCCAGCCCTAAAGCTAAGCCTACTTCCAGATGCCAGCTCCTGGGGTGAGAAACTCAAGGCAAATTCCACGGAGAGACAGGAGCCATCTAACAAACCCCACATGTATCATTTATCCCCCCTGGGCCCCAGGAGACCTGGCCAAGAAAGCAGGAAGAGTTGGAAGAAAGGGAGCCAAAACCTCAGCAACGCACTGCCCACTCCCTGACGTCATATTTAATGGCACTCTGGTCTGAGCACCTTCAGCAGGCGAGGAAGGGCTGGGCCGGTGTCCACAGTAGGCAGGGATGGCAGCACAAGCTTCTTCCTTCTGCCCAAGTGGGCCTGCTGCTGTTCTAGACACCAGATATGGGGGCCCTAGACGCGGGCCCACTGCCGAGCACCAGGAGACACACGGTCACGGCTTCTTCTGGGGAAAGATGGGGTGCACGTGGCCCCTGCAGTCCCATGCCTCCCTACAGCGCTCCGCCTGACATTGACATTGGCTCGGGCAGGGCTCTGGGGGAGAAGTTGCTTTATCCAAAGCTACCCTTTACTGGGATGCAAAGCTTCTAGCTAGCTGCAGGGACTACGTGGGTCCTAGCCCCCCACACTTAAGACAATAATGAAAGAGTCTATACAAAGTTACCAGGTCTACAAGGCTGAGGGAGCCAAGGGGAAGCGGGGCCTGATCCTTGTGGGGAAATGTTCCCGGGAGAGTTGGCCTCACCTGGCGGAGGCACGTGGATACAACATACATGTTTACAGGGTTCAGGAAAGTCAAGGGCCACGAGGAGATGTAGAAAAGCGGGGCAGTGGGTAACATGGGACATCCTGTACAGTGGCAACAGGGAAGAAAAGGCACAAGGACAAAGAACCCAAACCATGCAGACAGAATAGCCTGTGCAGCACAGCAAAGCAGACGGCCCCCGCAGGAGGGGCACCCTGGGACAACAGCACTTGGATACTGCAGGAGAGGCGGCCTGGATGCCCTCCCCGGCTGGTGGCTCTGGGGCAGACATCTTTACGCTATAGTCACGATGGAGAGGGAAGGAGCCTTCAAGGTCGAAGTATCAAGGTCATGTGGCAAATCTTGTGCCTGGTGAGGATGAGGGCATCACACTTTGCTGGAGTCTAGCCTTTAGAAACAAATCCGTCTAGAAAGCAGCCTACTCCCTGTGGCAGACAACAGAGATGGTGGCAGAAGGGCCTCAGAGCTGTCCTGCCATGCAGGTAGGGCAGGCCCCTGGTTTCTACAGAAGTCATTTTATACAGAAGCCACCTTGTGTTACCCTCCAACTGACCAATGAGTGGACTACAATCAGTCGAACATCAAACAATCAGAACTGCCATGTTTCAATCCTTCATTTGCATGGTGGGAACGGGAAAGAGGCCAGCTCCGGCATAAAAACAACCCAAACCCCCTGGCTAGAGACAGGTAACTCTTCGGTCACTCCCCACTGCTTCCTTGAAGTGCTTTCAATAAACCTGTCCTTCTCTGATCTGACTTGGGTTAATTCTTTCACCACCAGCAACTCTGGCCAACTGGTTGCCACCCACCACAGTTCCAGCCTTTCCCGCTTCCTGCTGGCTGCCCCATTTGTGTGCACGCTCTGAGCAGAGTGTTGGGACATGCCGGGTATGACACGGCCCCCTACCTGAGGTGGCCCATTGGGGCAGTCTTACCAGTCTGAAGTGTCGCCTGAGAGGGGATGCCCTGGGTCCCAAAGGGAGGCTCTGGGAAGAAAGACTGGGGAGGATACCAGCACTGAAGTCCCAAGTGGCCTCACTCTACAATCTAGAATCCACCACAGCCCTCAGTCACCATGTATCTGCCAGGTGACCAAAATCATTTCCTTGGAATGGTGACCACACAAAACTTTCCTGTTACAATCAGGTCTAGAGTTAGTTTTTAGCTTTACGTTTGCTAATGCATTAAACCCACAAACACCCAGAACACAAAGAGGGCTTAATTTCTCTCTGCTTTACTCAGCTCCTCTGGCTCCTGTAGGCTGTTACCAGTTATTAAGTCCTTTGTGGGGACAAAGAGTCCACTCTTGTGCCCTCCTGGGCCACCAGGACCTGACTCACCAGCAGAGGCAACTGGAGCCTTCAGGATGTGAGGTGGGATGCCAGTCTGGCTACAGTGAAAGAGTTAGGGCTCCCTCATTTGCATGATCAGAAAACAGATCAAAGGGAAACCCACAAAGCCAGTGTCCCTGCTCAGTTGTGCACATAGATGCCTGTTTCTGAGGCTTTCAGGGGGACAAGCCCACTTGTCAGTTCCTAGCCAACTTAGTTCTACCCACACTTTGGAATGGGCCTGTGGCCAACATACCCCAACACGCGCCACCCACCGACTTCGGGGTCTCCAGGCAGAGGTCTTGCCACCCAGTGAGGTTTACTAACCTCTAGGCTGGTGAGAACAGCTGGACTCACCAGCTTCTGGAGGTGAAGCCATTGAACAACAGAAACAAAAGAAACCCCCGGCCCCTGCACTCCCAGCACTTATGGTGGTCAGCACCTGGTCCGGCAAGCCCAGAAAACCATTTCTACCATGTCTCTGTCTCTGACCAACAACCTAAAATGGGTGTATGGGGGTGGGGGCATCTTCAAACACGAACTACACATGAGCAGTGTGTGGGAAGGTCTTTAAAATCTGGACGCCTGGATCACACTCCACACCAATTAAACCCGAACCTCTGGGGATTCAGCCCAGCTATGAGAATCTTAATTCCAGTTCCAGTCTTGATTCCCATGTGCAGCCAAAGTTGAAAACCGCTGTTGAAGGATCTAGTGCTTTGGGGTCTAGTTCTTGAGCTTGGTTTGCGTTTTTAATGGGTCAGAAATAAAGTCATGAAAAAGGAATTTCCCTGTGACAGTTCTCAAGGAAATCTACTAATTTAAAATAAAATAACCCAGGTCTGACGCTGGCCAATTCAAAGTTAAAAGAAACATTTTTCCTACGACTTTCTTGTAACCTCCCACCGAACAGGGACTAGCTGAGTCCCAAGGAGCTTAGTTTGCCACTAGATACTGTATATAAAGCTCACTCCCAGTTCAGCTAATTTTGCTTGGCTTCCGGGGACAGCTCAGTGTCATGTAAAATTTTAATCTGCTACAGAAACTCTCACCCCACCCAAAAAACACCTCTACACTTCAGACAAGTTACTGCTAATCCCTACTTAGTAGGGTTGCCAGGTTTAGCAAAAACAAAAACAGTAAAACAACCCCCGCCCCAAGTAAGACATAGTCAAAAGGAGAATCACCTGGGGAGTTCTAAGACATTCCATACCTGGGCCACACCCACACCAGAATGTCTGAGGATTCAGTCCACTCCTCAGAATTCTAAAAACTTATCCGGTAGAACATACTTCCTCTAAACACAATGTGTTATCTCTGTGAAATGTGAAATTTAGCTGGGGGTCCTGTCTACCATCCTGCAGCCCCACTCCTGAGAGAAAAGGGCAGAAACACAGGGAGAGCAGGCTCTGTCCCATCACCCAGGGCTCTGAGACCCCCGGGGCACCTGTCCCCCTCAGGCTAGCTTTTCAGTTCAGAAGAGCACTTAAAAAAACATACCCGATCTTAAAAAGCCAGGGTGACAGACTAGGTTTTATAAAAAATGCATTCTGGCTGGGAAAAATAAGAAGGTTGGATTTAACTCTAGGAGGGTGCTATGCAGGACTCAGTCCCTCACTTAAAGCCGGTCCTCTTCCAGGGCCCTCAGCGCTGCGCCAGGTCCACAAGGGCCTCTCAGATTGGGGCCTTGCGGTCTGTTCCCGTGGCACCCCCTAGAGGGAGGAGCCAGCAGGACGCTGCAGCCCATCTGCTTTCCCACCTCCTTCCCATGGCAGGGACTCATTTCTTCCCATACTGTGACTACATAACTCAGGCCTCTGCAGCCTTCTCTGGAATTCCACGCCAATGCATTATACATAAAATACTCAGCCCTAGGCAAGCCCCCCACAGGCCAGGACCCCAACTTGGCTGGCCACTCTGCAGGGCTCCTTCCGATGTAAAACCCAGAGCAACGCCAGGTCATGATTTGTCTTCTTCCTCTCCTCTGTGGCCATTCCTCCCTACCAGCAATCTCCGAAGACCCACTCCTCTTGTCTCCTTTCTCCGCCTGCTGCTGCGCAGACCCTTGGGGGTCCAAGGAGACCGCATCCTAAGGGGCTGAGAGGCTCCCAGAAGACCAGCCCCCTTGCCTCATCTTCCTAGTGTGGAGGGCTCCAGAGTCCTGGGTCAGACTGAGGCAACCCCATTCTTTGTAGCATGTAACGAATTTCATACATAGGATCAGGAAAAAAAAAACCCCACAAAATCCAACGAAAGCAAAATCAATGGGAAGGGAATGAAAGCGGATCCTGGCCACAGCCCAGCCTCTGTCAAGCAGGGGTCACACTCAAGTCCCCAGCTCCCCCTCACTGCCCTTTCTTCTCTGCTACTCCCCTCCATACCACCCTCCAACATGCCCAAACCTTCCTTCTCACACTAGATGTGAAGAAAACATGGACCTGCCAGGAGAAAATAAGACCATACGTGTTTATATGTATTTGGGTTAAGGAAATGAATCACAAGCGATAAAAACTTGAGATAAACTGGAAAACTCTAAGGCAAGTACCATAGCTACTCCCAGCTCCCTAAAACAAAAGATTCCACTAAAAACCCGTATAGTGTGAATTCCCACCATGTGTCCAAAGGACGGAAGACAAAAGTTCTTGTCACTCTCCCAGGCACCTCCCGCCAGCACTGCGTGTCTCCCCTGGCTGAGAACCAAGTATGGGTGTGTTTCTGACAGCTGGAACAGAGGGGCCTTGCTGTCCCCTGACTGGAGCTCAGAGCTCAGATTCTGAAATCCAAAACCCACGTCTGCCATGGCCAGGCCACGTAGAGAGGCAAGTCTGGTGAGCCAGACAGAGGCCCATAAGATGCAGCCATGGGATGGGAGCTGTGCCTCTTTTGGGCCCATCTGTGTGTCTAAGACACAGCCATGGGACGGGAGCTGTGCCCCTCCCAGGCCCATCCACGCATCTAACATGCAGTCGCATCTAACATGCAGTCGTGGGACGGAAGCTGTGCCCCTCCCGGAAATTATCTCTTTAGTTGCCCAATGTCAACACCTGCCTTAGACACTCCATCCCCAACCCTCTTTTCTCCCTCAAGTCACACCCACATGAATGCTGCTTCGTTGTCTTAAAATCAAAACAAGGACAGAAAGGGGGAGGTAGGTCAGCAGGACGCGGGAGGGTATGGAGAACTCTAGAGTGTAGATGGCCCTGTGCCAGTCCCTCTGCACACCTGAGTCCTCTGGGCACTGTGCACACACGTTCAGAGGGCTGCTGGCCAGAGCACCCAGTGAGGACACCCCCGCACCCCGCAGGCCACCATACGCCCCTTCCTCCTCTCTGAATCTGAAAGGTGGCCAAAAGCTGGCGAGGACACAACTGTGGGGCATTCAAACTCCTAGAAAAGATTACAATTCTGCTCCCACTCCCAGGAGAGCAGGGGTGGGGTGAGAGAGCCCATCTCACTAGAGTTTATGTTCATCCTTATCCCCAGAGGTAGAATCATTTTAACCAGTACCTGAAACACAAGCTTCCAGTTCTTGTTATTACAGTAATTCCTGACAGCAGACCTTGACCCCCTTCCCACTTCCAGAATGCTCCGCCCCTTGCAAAGAGGCCACAAAGTGCACGGACAGCTAACTGTGCAGACGTTACGCGCAGCCGCAGCCCCACACTCACCCTTCGTTCGTGCACATGGCCTCCCCATATAGACACCAGGAAACAGAACACATGGTGGCCAGAAAAACATTTACAGAGTGAGTGTGAGGCCCGGCCAGGGCCTGCGTCTCAGACGGGGTCTGCCCCTTGGTCCTAGGTCCTGAGGATGCCCCGCAGGCAGCCCCACATCTTAGTGTTTGATCTCGAGGATGGAGGGGTTGTGGTCCAGGATGGCGAGGATGATCTTGTCCATGTACTGCCGTAGCCGGAAGTTGATTTCCTCCTGCTCCTTCAGGGCTTCCATCAGCTGAAGGGGGTGGAAAGACTGGTCAGAAGCCAGGACCGAGCAGTGCAGACAGAGCCCAGATTCCTGGGCTTGTGCTAGGGAAGAATGAGGATGGCCCTCAGGAGACCTGGGCGAGGTGGGCCCGAGACCAGCCCCAGCACTTGGAGCCTGTACAAGAGTTTAAGGCAGCAGCTCAGCCCCGCCTGGGGAGCATTAGATATGCAGATGCCCTGGCCCTACCCTGGAGATTACACTGTGATTGGTTTGTGAAGGGGCCCAGGTGTGGGTAATTTTTTGGTGAAGGTTGAGAACACTGGCCAAAGCCATTTATGATCAAGAATGACATCTGGACGGGCTCGGTGCTCAGCCTATAATCCCGCGCCTTTGGGAGGCCAGGTGAGTGAATAGCCTGAGCCTGTGCGCGGGTCTCCCGCCTGGGCAGCGAAACCTCATCTCTATGATAAATCAAAAAATCAGCTGGGCGTGGTAGCGCATGCCTGTAATTCCGGCTACTCGGAGGCTGAGTTGGAAGGATCGCCGGAGCCCAGCAGGTCGAGGCTGCGGTGGCCGGGAGCGGCCACTGCACTCCATCCTGGGCGACAGAGTGAGACTCCAACTCAAAAAAAAAGAATGACATCCAATGCCCCAGGCTCCCTAAAACAAGGGGGCTGGCTGTTTCCTCTGCCATCCCCTCACCTAGGCCCACACTGCCCTTCTTCAGGGCAGCTCCCAAGGGCCCTTGGGACATAGCTGATACTGGTCTCTGCCCCGAGGCTGGGGGCGGGGCACAGATCACTCAGGAGCACCTGGAGGCAGAGGGCCAGGTTCAGAGATAGAGTGCCATTCAAGCCATGTCGCAATGCTGCCGGGGCATTGTGGAGGCCTGACCTTTCATAGCCAGACCCCAGTGAACCCTGATGAGTAGGCTGTGGTACTAGAGCTGGGCCCCTTTTCTCTCCAGCTGGGTGAGCCTGTGTTCCAGCTTCCAGTCAGCAACCCCAAGTGTTAATAAAGCCTCAGGGTCTCTGGAGATGAAGTGACAACATGCAGCAAAAGCAGCTGCCCAAGGCTAGTTCTCTCCCCTCTGGGCCTGGGGGAAGGGAGTTGGGCCCAACCTGGACTCACATGTTGATGAAGGTAACTGGCTCTGACTAGACCTGTGCTCCGACCAGCACGTGCAAAACTCAGAGGTGATTTAACATCTGCGGCCCCATCCCCCAGCTCTGCCTTCTGTCACTTGGAGTGGCTGTAGATGGGCCCAGATTCCCAGGACCCATCTGGTTTTCTTGCTCTGGGCCGCCTGGGGGCCATCAACACGACAGGTGGATAGGGTAGGAATCCCAGAGGAGGGGAATAGGGTAGGAATCCCAGAGGAGGGGGCCAGGTGCTGAAGCAAGGGTCGGTGGACCTGGTTACCTCATCGCGTGAAGCTGTGTCTATTTCCGCGGCCAGAGACTGGGCTTTGGTCTGGGTGGCGAAGAGATTCTTAGCTTCGTAGAGGCTGAGGCTCAAGATCTGTCCATTCAGGTCATCATTCTGATCCCGCAGCTTATAATTCTCCTATGGAGAGAAGGATGAGGGTGCCCTCAGCTCCCACCCACCACCCCCGATTGCCTTGGGCACCATCCCCTCAAGCGTGCATCGCGGTCAGCTCAGGAGGCCACAGAGGCTGCAGCATTTGCCAGGCACTGGGGGTAAAAGAGCTGGGTCCCGGCCTGGGGGCCTGGTGTCCTGGGAATTCACAGGACTTTGAGGAGGAGTTACGGCCCATCTTCTCAGGGTAGCTGTGTGTGCAGGCAAGAACACGGATCCTGGCCCTCCTTCCTCCCTGGGCCCCAGTGTGGCAGCTCAGCTTCCTACAGTTGTTGAGGCAAAGTAGAGCTCTGGGCTCTCCAGGCAGGCAGGAGAGTTCCACTCCTTGGCTTCTCCTGTAGCCAGGCTCCAGCATCCTGCTTGGGCTGTGTCCAAGGCCCCTCCTTCTGAGTACAGCTGGCCCCACAGTGCCCTGCCCAGACGCCGTGCACCAGCCTCACGCTCTGACTTTTGCCAAAGGCCCCTGATGCCCACACTTGGGACACTGGAAGCCTCCTACTAGAAGGGGAGAAGGACTGGGGTTTAAGGACTGTGAAGGGAGCGGTCACTAGCACCTTTCTCTGAAACAAACTGAGAGATGCAATTCATGCTGCAGAGTCCTCTGTCTGTGGGGGGGAGGGCTTTATTGACACCACTCCCTCACTCAGTCACTGCCCATTCCTGGTCTCACTCCCCCAACCCCGACTAGAATCCAGTTAACAGCTCCTGGGAACTACTTGAAATGGAACCTTGGCCTCAGGGTCCGCTCCTGCAGTCAGGCACTCATTTGCAGCTGGGTATAGTCTCATTTTCTACCCCAGGAACCAAGCAGGATGGTAGTGTTTGTTTCCTTAAATGGACACAAGGGAAAGCTCCTCCGGTTTCCATGAGAGGTTGCCTAGAGGTGACTCGCTTTTCCGGCACTGTGAAATAGGATGACTCAGGTATAGTGGTGTGTGCATGTGGTTCCAGCTACTTGGAAGGCTGAGGTGGAAGGATCACCTGAGGCCAGCAGGTCGAGGACGCAGTGGCTGTGAGTGTGCTACTGCACTTCAGCCTGGGTGACAGTGAGACTCTGACTCAGGAAAAAGAAAAAAGAAATAGGACAACAATCAGCCCTGACCATCAGGTAGTCGAGGAACTGACATGGTGGAGTGCGGGAACAGTGCTATGGTTCTGGGCTCCCCCTTGTCCCTGCACAGGAAACCCACGCGGCTGGCTTGACCCGCTCGCCCCACTGAACACAGGGCTCCCAGGGCCCACCTGCTTGAGCCGCTTGACCTCGTGCTCCAGCTCCACCTCACGGGCTCTGGCATTGAACTCGCCCAGGCCAGAGGCAGTGCCACGGCCCCTGCCTGGCCGCTCGCAGTCCAGCTTGTACATCTGCAGGTGTTCCAGCTCCTTGCGCAAGTCCTCGATGAGCTGCGGGGAAGAGAGGCTGGTTGGCGGGGGCAGGGAAGCCGGAGTGGGGACTGGGCACCCTCCAGCCCAGGACCTACCTCCTGCGTCGCCTCCCGCTCCTTCTGGAACTCCAGGCGGTTCTGCCGCAGCTTATCCATCATGCGCTTATACAGGTCCATCTCGTCCTTGAGTCGCAGGCTGGTGTCTTCCAGCCGGTCGGACATGCGCTGCCGCTCCTGGGGGTAGAGAGACGGGTGGGGGGGGCAAGTTCCCAGGGAGGGGCTTGTTGTACCCCGGGGACCTCCTTGGGGAATCAGGTCAGCCACCTCGCCTGGCAAACGGTCAGACCAGCTCCCCTGGATATAGCCCACCAAGTCACGGCTTAAAGGAGTGGCCAGAGCCCTGCTGATTCTAGAAATACAGCTAAAAGAACCTCAGGTCAGCTGGGCACAGTGGCTCAAACCTGTAATCCCAGCACTTTGGGAGGCGGAGGAGAGAGGATTGCCTGAGACCAGGGGTTCGAGACCAGCCTGGGCAACTTGGTGACACCTTGTCTCTACAATAAAGTTTTTAAAAAATTAGCTGGGCATGGTGGCACACGCCTGTAGTTCCAGCTACTTGGAAGGCTGAAAGGATCACTTGAGCCCAGTAGGCTTCGGTGCCTGTGAGTGTGCCTCTACACTCCAGCCTGGGTGACAGAATGAGACTCCAGCTCAAAAAAAGACCTCCGGTCTCTTGAATCCTTCACCGCTGCTAGGTGGAGCAGGACTTCTTAGCCCACAGAGAGGATAACCTCTTTCTCTTCCTTTGAAGACTCCCCCCCATTGTACAAGCAAATGCATTCACTCTAGAAAACTTGGAAAGTTAGAAATTCAAAGCCGGGCTTGGTGGCTCAGCCTGTAATCCCCCGCCTTTGGGAGGCTGAGGTGAGTGGATTGCCTGAGCCCGCGGGTTCGAGACCTGC